AAAGAGTGTTTGATGTCATTCGACTCAGCAGGGGCTTTTCCAGATGATTTAAGGCATGGTATTAACAAGCTGTGAAAGTAGTTTCAGCTAGCCCTTTTTAGCTATGCGGGTGATAACTTCAAAGCACTGAAAGTAGGAGTAGGTAGAGGGAAGAAAAATCTTCCAAGATTCTAACAGCACAGACAGGAATCCTCAGTATGGGAAAATACGACTTGTAATAACATTATAATGAATAACACCTCAATGTTGTCAGGTTATCTGTTGCAAAGCAAAGGACTCAGACACAAAGTCAAGTTCATACATGGCAGCTACAGTTACTGTGCATACTATTAGCCTGAAGCAAAAAAGTCAAATACATTAGTTTGTCTCACTGCAAATGATTTAAGTGAATGTGTTTCTCTCACAAGTGCAAAGGTTTGGATTGTATTTACAGTTACCACAGCTCAACAGACACAGACACATGATAGTGTGAGGAGTCACAATTGAAAGCATCTGATCTCTTAATCTATACTTCAGCAAATCTTCTGCACACACAGGAGACTAAGTGAGCCTAAGTGATGCTCCTCAGTCTACTGTTAGATCATTTCTTAATTTTCTGAACTGTCAAGTACCCAGTAGCTTACTGTAGCAGCTGTAGACCATCAGGCCCAAGCCTCAGTAGAGATACTCATCATCTTTCTTTTCCTTTTTTTTATTAATCATTAATTATAGCTGTTAATTCACAATGTAGAATGTACCTTGCAAATAATTAAAGTAACCGTGGTCCTGGAAGCATACTTTGCATCTACAGTTGCCCTATTGACAGGTTTTTATAGAAGCATGCCATGTTAACAATAGCGGAACATGGATGGATATACAATGCTGTGAGATGTCATATCAGAGGATAGAGGCAATTATTGTGTCCCTTTAAGACATTGTATACCAGACCCTAATACTGCTTAGATTCATTATTGCTAGTGCTGTTATATAGGGTTTAAAGATGTCTTTACATGATTAAGTTCTCTGGCTTTTAAAGTATTGTTGCTATAGCCAACTCTTTCAACACGCTGTTAGATACAAGCACTTCATTCTTCTCCTGTTTAATATTAACCATAATATCATGTAATAAAATTGAAACAAAAGTGCCATAGGCCTAATTGTACTGTCACAGCCGTGTAAATCAGAAATAGCTTCGGTAAAGCTACTGTTATTATGCTGGCGTAAAACTGATGTAAATTAGAAATGACTCGGATGCTGTAGCTCTGCTTGCAGATAACACAATGTAAAGGCCTCACTTAAACTCCCACATAATGGCTTATGAATGAAATACTCCTTACCTCATCATATTATATGGTATTGTATCAAAAATGAACAATATTTATAAGGGATGACATAATCAGGTAGATCAAGGTAAGTTAATGTTATGGGGCCAGCTTCTGAGCTGTATTGACTTCTGTGAAGTTAATGCAGATCTACATAGATTTGACTGCCATCAGTATATAACTTACCATCACTTCCATAAAACTGAATTGCTTAGCTGTTATACAATGTAAAATAAGAACCCTGACTTTAGGTAGATTTTTTGGCTTGGTTTGGTTGGGGTCTTTTCTGATATGACATTAGCTAATGAACAGCATGTGGAAGGAAATGTGCCAGACATGGTGGTTACATCAAGAACTATGTCGGAAACGAGTAATGAACTCTAGGAAAATAAATAAGGGCAAGTTCAGGAAACGTAAGTGAAAATGCAGCTCTGGTATAAATTGAATAATAAAATTCCTGGTCATATTTTGCCATAAATAGTGGTTTGGGAATTTGTCATTCACCTTATTTAAAATTCAGAAATATTAAAGGTACAGGGTTCTCTCATTATAGAAGTAATAGAATTCTAGCTATTACAGAGTTAGGGTAATTTAAATAGCTATAGAGTGCATTATATCAATAAGTGGAACATCTGTATGAAATGTCCACCTGCTGATATACTACTCAGTGTACTTTACAATGAAATGTACTTAATCATTTTAAGACATCTTCTAATGAAGCCTTATCGGGATTAACATTTTGAACACAAATACTTTTAGGCATTAAAACTTCCACTTTAAATGAGATTGCATTGTCTTGTTTACCCTTGTTGATTAATAAGCAATCTGTTAACTGTTAGAATGGCCCAGTTGTGCCAGTGAAAGTAGATTAGTAATTCAGCTATGTTTGTGGGTTTAATAATTTCTCTTGAAGGCTTTGAATAAAAAAAAATTGCTTGCACACTCTCTGTAGGCAAAGAAAAGATATATATTTTTAGATGTGTATACCAATGTTTTGCTTCAGACTTTCAGCTTAGTATTATTGATCAAGCACATACTTCCAGCAGCAAAATAGTCCTTTGAGGTACAACATTTCTAAGTATAAATTCCAATTTATAAAGAAAAAGTGATATGAAAATCTGGAACTTGAATCCACTTTCTATAGAATGTTATTGTTTTGCTAATAAAATTCAGGAGGGCAGGTCCTGATTTTTTATCGGGTAACACTTGTGAACAGCTTTGAGAGATGCAGTGGATTTTGTTGTTTGCTTATTATGATTAACTGGAAGCTTAAAGGCAAATACCCTGTCTTCAAAAAGGATGATAGTTCAGATTTTCTCATGGGGTCATGCACTTTCATCTGTGGCATCCCACAGAGGGAAACAGATGTTGGCAAGTTACAATTTAAATTATCTGGAAAGCTCCCACGTGTGGAGCACAGTCCTGTTAAATTCAGGAGCAGCACAGGCCTATGATAATAGTTGAATACTTGAACCATGCAATGCTATAAAAGTATAGGGTCTCAGAAGCTGGGCTGAAGCCGTCATCCTCAGATGCATTTGTGCCTTGTGTACCCCAGCTTCATCGATATTATTATTAAAACACATCATGAGTTAATAAAACCCTGAGTTGATGTTGAATGATGGTGGAGTGTGATTGTAGACAAAACCACTCTCGAAAGCACCCCATGCCATTAGCTGCTTCCGGGTGGTAGATCTCTCTTTAGTTTTGGCATGTAGGATGCATTATTTATACTGCTATTCAATGAGATTTTCAGTGTAGTTACTTAGGTTTCTGGTGTAGAACCAACATATCCTGGCTTCCATCAATATTCAGCAATATTAGGGCTAAGCGATTGTCTCCCATCATGCAGTTCACATCAGACTGCATTCTTGGTAACACTGGAATCGGTATGATGAAATAAATGCAGTGAATAACTCATCTTCAAGAAGGATACAGTTATCATAGTATTCCCACTTGAATATGGAACTACCCTGGAAATATTTTATGATAACAAAAAACATCTGTAAAGAATTTTATACTGAATTTTCTCCTTCCTTAAGGTTTCTCCTCTGACAGGGTACATATGACCCATAATTTCTATTGTTTTTTCTAAAAATATATATATTCTCATTGCACGAATAAACTTTTCT